ACCTTTGGCTTCTACCAGCACCCTCCAATTCCATGGTTTTGGGACCCTGACAGGTTGTTTCTGGGCACCGGACTTGACACCAGGAACACTTCTTGGAGGGTCTAGGTAGTTGGTCAGCTTCATGGTGTACATCTCCGACGTCCCTATTGGATCGCGGTATGCTGGTCAGCTGGTCAGCTGGTCAGCTCCGGCCATAGTCCATCCTTCAGATCAGCTACTGCACTCACCAGCTTGGTACCACCGGCTCCTTCGCTTGCACCACCAGCGCCTGCTAAAAGAGAAGAATGCTCAGCAGAGCGGCATTGACTTGAGAAGAATGGAGTATCTTCCCTGGCCTTCCCAGATCCTTCAATCAAAGGGAACGACCTGGTTTTGTCGTCTGAGTCTGAACCTCTTAGTAAAACCAGACTGTTTCTGGAAAGACCATTGCAATGAATGGTGCTTGGAAGCCTGGGGAAAAACAAAAGCTTCTTTTGGGACACAGGAAGGGTGGATGGGATCCGCATGAACTTCTACAGAGCGCCATGATTTATCCTCTTACTCGAAGGATCACAAATGTGACTCATCGAATTCTGGTCAGGCGTGTTTTGATGGCACCTGAAACGACTGCAGCAACCTTAAGTATGTGTGGCTGTTACATTTGACCGCGGCCACTTGGTCATTCGGTAACGACTATTTATATTTGGGATCTATCAATTTGATTGGTTCTGTCAGATGGTTTTTGTATGTTTTTGTTCTTGCTTTTGCGAGCTGGGGGCGATGAGCCAAAAGTTTGCTTCCTCTTCGAGGTAGAGTTTCCGATGTCAATTGTATAAAGTATATAATTAAGACAAATTGCAATTTCCAGAGATAAGTCCAAGTCCAGATAATTTGCCATAGATGTTGGATGCCGTCTATTTATGTTTTTTTTATTAAGGTGTCGATCATGTCCAACGAAATGCACGCGTTGTTGACATACAAGAAGTATTTGTGTTCCTTTTCTCTTCTTTCATTTCACTCTTGTTTCGGTACCCAAGTGCAAGCTCCGTTCTGTACAGGAGGCCATATTTTTGAGGCCTCGATAAATCCTGAATTGCTGCCTCAAATGCTTTATTCCAGCACAAAAGCTGTACTGCAGGGCTGCAGTATCCAAGGAAACCAACGCTGCAAAAGGCCGTTCAACCAAATAATGATCACAAAAAAATAGTCAATGCTGGTTCATGGCACACAAAGCCTTTAGTGCATCGTGGGTAGATGCTCTTAATTTCGTCGGCTCTGGAGTAACTAATTAGGGTTCTCGCAGCAATTGAGGATAATTGGTGTGCTTTAGTGCGAAGTGTTGGTTTCCAAGCTGCTCATCCTGTGTCCATCCTCACCCGTCCTACTCACCCATCCTCCTTCACCCTCATCTCCCTCCATTGGCTCCGTCACATACGGGGGCCGTAGCCCTTGCTTCACATGTTCACGGGACGAGATGGTGAGTTGGAGGGAGCTCCCAAGTTCCACGTGAGCCTTGGAGATCCTCCAATCCTATGTGGAAATGATGTTGCTTGCACCACCAGGAGGTGCATGACCAAGAAGCAACCAACCACCTGAGCACCACCTTGGAGGCGTGGCGGAAGCGCGATTGCGCATCCTACGCGCCTTGGCTGGGAGGTCAGCGAACTCGAACTCAAACCTGGGCGGAACGTTGCGCGGTTGCGCCGACCGACGAAAACTGCAGGGCCCTGCTGCATCGAAGCAGGCTGCTGGGCCATCATCTGTCGATCTTCGCGGCGCGCACGCGGCATCACCGGTGTCTCCAACGCCCAACCACCGGTCGGGTTGATCAGTTGATCATCGAGTGGTTTGGCACGTGGAAAAAGGACCATCGGTTCGCATGATAAACCACTGGATCGAACCCAGGTGGTTCCATGATAAACCACTCGATGTTGATAAAACTCCCATCCGGGCAGTGCAAAACCACTTCTCACCACAAAAATGCGGCAGGTACTTGCTGAGGACCAGCCTATGAAGAGACTTCCCTGCCAGGCCCTCCTTTTCTGTTAGGCTCTTTTCAGATGGACAACTCTCAAGTGCAAGTTTCAGAGCCCTTCAATCAATGCTTGCTCAAAATGTTCCTATGAAACCTGCATCTACCTCCTTCATCCTCTCATCCTTCTCATCCTTCAGTGCTTAAACCACTCGTGTCACTTAGTGCCTCCTAGCCGGCCGCCCCCTTCTCATCCCTTCGGCCCCGTGGCTCGTCGCGGCTCAAGCCGATGTTCAGCGGAGCCTGCAGGGACCGGAGGAGCGAACGCAGCGGCTGTGAGGAGTTTGGATGACTCATCCTGTTGCGAGTTGCGAAGGTTTTGGCTGAAAACACCTCGGGCCCTGGAAAAACACGGAAAGGCGTTGGTGCTCAAAATGGAGGAAATTCATCGGTGCTCGAGAAAAAGGTGTGAGTGGTTGGAATCTCATGAGATTTGTCACCTTTTGTAAGCTCCTCATCAGGAGACATAGGAGTTTGGATACATCATCAGTTTGACACACCTGTATCTCAGTGGGGACACACAGGAGATGACATACACCCCTATCATCTGATTTCTTGCGCGCAAGCAGTAGTGGTGAACCACGTGAACTACTAGCCGCCGCTAGCTGGCCTGTGCTACGATCATTTGTTTCAGAAAGGAGTGGTGCAGGGGGCAGGGCCATCTGCACGGAAGATCCAACCGCTGAAAAAAGTGAAACCTCGCTGGTAGATGCTGGTAGTCTACATCAGTCTAAATGAAACAAGCCTAGAACCCAAAGTGTGACCCCTGCTTTGATATGATCTCCGACCATAATTTTGGTGGTTGCTACTTCAAAACGGCAAAACAAGTTCTAATGATGAGCAAAGAAGCTACTACTAGGAACAAGAAGCTAGAAACAATAAATAAATAGAATTAAAATAGAGTTTAGTTTAAAACAGGTTCTAGGTGGACGGACTGGACTGGTCACCTTTTTCCTTCATCTCCCCCTTCTCCTCGGGTTTTTCTGAGGCTCCCACGAAGGTACATCTTAAAGCAAAAGCGAAGAAGCACACAGCGGCTTCAGGACCTTCGCTTTGAGTCTCCAACACATGCGGGAAAATCACCCACCAAAAACGACGGAATACGGAATGTCGTTCCATGCCCAGCTGGTTCAGAAAAAACCAAGGAGGTTTCGGCTGCACGCTTCTCTCCACTGGTTGCCTTGGCGCATACATGTGTATGCCAGTCTGACTAGAAGCGCGTGGGGTATGCCGGTGTGATGCCCAAACATCGGAGACCTGACACTCACAGACGCCTAGGGGCCTAGGGAAAGGCAGCGCCTGTGTCTTCGACACATCGGACATGTCAAGACGCCCTCTCCGAGGCCAGTGGATTGACCCTACTCAGTCAAGCCGCCCTTTGAACTTGGGTGGGGGTGCCTGGGACTCGAATCCAGCCTCATCCCCAACCAGTCGCCTCCCAAAGGGATGGGGCCCTTTTCTGGCGCTGGAATGAGGGTTGCGTGACACGACGAAGGTGAGCCAATCTACTGGTACTTCCTGACACTATATAAGCAGTCTCGGAGCCTTTCATTCATGAAAGCGAAGCTAGAAGAAGTCCAAGCAAAGCCCACCGCTTTGTTGGGTTGCCCATGCCAGGATCCGAGCAATGTTTGGACGAAACCAAACAAAACCAAAAAGAAACTCCAAGGTGGTCCACTCTCGATTGTACAGAAATTCACCTGAGATCCACCTGAGTAAATAGCACTAAAACCTTATACACAACTCAAGTCGCACTCTTTCACAAACCAAAAAAGCAAACCAAATGGGAAAAGGGGCCGTCCGATTGTAGTTCCCATTAAACTAGTTGTTACCAAGTTCTACCACAGTTCTGAATCACAAACCAAAGTTGTAGACTGGGGAAACTCGGAAAGTGTAGCTTCATGTACGTAAGCTCGCTGTACCGCCGATATTCAATTCCTATCCCTAGGGATCCACATACCGAACCTCAGAAGGTACGACTGGGCCCTCCTGGCGCCTACGTAAATCGTCTCCAATCACCGTACCTGAGGTTCGGTACGACTGGATCCCTAGGGTATGAAAAATCAACCCAAAAAACACCAGGTTCAAGGGCCTCATCTACACGTGGTGGACCTGTAGACCAGGTAGTCAATCGCGTACCCAAAAAACACTACCATCAGCTGGCTTTGGTCCGAACTCTGTTCCTCCTGGCGCCAACTCCGACCAGGCTCGACCCACCCCTCTCCGACCCCCTTCGCTCCAAAGCTGCCGTTGGGGATGGCTGTACAAAGTCGATCCTCGCACGCGTCGACGCCGCCGGCATATGAAAAACACACACAAAATAAAATAACACGCATGAAACACGGGAGTGTTTCATGAGTTGTTTTTTTCAATGTTCTCGTTCATTTCAACCCATTTCAACCCAATTTCAGGTTCCGAAGAACCCTTGAGGACCATCTCTCTCGCGGCCAACCCCTCGTCGCCGACGCGCCGCGTCCTCCCGGGCCAGTCCCAAAATCTCCACCTGACCACGCAGGGTTCGTCCGCCGCAACGGAACACGAATCCAAAACGTCGGGACGGGCGATGGTGGTTGAAAAATACCCCACGTCGGGTTGGCTATTCTTGTTTTAGAATGATGGAGGAAGGGATTTGGTTTAGGGTTTTGATGGGTTTGGGGTTGTGAATTTGGTTGTCCTGATTCTCTTGAGCATGGCTTCCAAGCAATCAGTCGTGAGGAATACCTTTGTGTCTCTAGTGACACGGCCGGCCGCTGCAAAATTTGCTTCTTCAACCGACAACTCGTGGACCTCCGTGGTGCGTCAACCAGCCACTCCACAACTCCTCAAAGCGTCCGTGAAGCTGGTTGCGGTACGTTTGTCAGGCCACAAGCCGATCCCGACTCGGCCCATGACTCGGTGAGCGACACCGAGTTGGGCGCTGAAGCGCTTCTCCCCCTTGAGGAATCGAAGGTGCCCAAGCGCGCACGAAGCAATGCATTCAAACACTCCTTCAACCCATGCTGCAAAAGAATAGATCACGAAGACAGCCGCGCCGTCGCACGTCGCACGTGAGCGTCCCCTCTAGTAACATCACCGTCCCCTGACAACCGCTCGCGGAGCGCTTCGCCTGATCGCTCACGATAAATGCCTTCAACTCTTTCAAGCCTCGGCCGGTCTGGGCGGCACCCCAAAGGAATGCCATTCGCGCTTCGCGAGGTTCGGGTACTCTGGCTTTTGGGGTTTTAGCGGGTTGCCCGGTTCACCCTGGTAGATTGACTTCCTCAATGGTTTATAGTCGATTCTGTTCATTTTCGGTGTGGAAAACCAGAGACTGGTCTCCCTATTGAAAACAAGAACACACCACATCGGTCGAATTTCAGGCCGTCTGGACCAGACCAGACCTTCCAACTCGACCAGACCGCCCAAGGGGCTTAAAGGTCTTCTTCCGTCAGTGGAGTGCAAGAAGGGAGCATCGGAGTCTGGCATGAGGTCATAGAAGCTGGTCCACTCCTGGAGAATTCAACCAGCAGCCCTGCTGGAAGGTTGAATTCAGAGCCTTTAAAGCCTGTGATCTCCATGTGATCCCCATGCTGGTCCAGCCCGCTTTTCAGCTTGCTGCGCTGCGCTGCGACCCACAGAGGCATCCACCGACACAGCGGCACTGACCCTCGCTCCTTCGTCAACACGTCCTCCGCGAAGAGCTGCTTCTTCGGATCGTAGCCGGCGGTAGCAGGGCCTTGGACGACGAGTCAGACGGTCGGACGAGTGGTCTTCGGAAGGCATGAACGAAAATCTCAACATGAGACAAAGCAATATTGTTTCAGAACAAAACGGTTCGGGATGGTTCGTGTGTATGTTTGGTTTGCGTGCGAGGGGTTTTCCATCTTTGTAGGTAGATTTGGGAAAGACCAAGAGGAATCTGAGACGCCGCCGCGAGGCAAACGCACCCAATCCGAGCGTCTCCCCACGTCAGAGTCATGCGAAGCGAACAACTGGGGCCACCAGCGAACGACACCTAACTCATGTGTCCCGCTATGTGTCTCCGTTGAAGACTCCATCGCCTGTGCGAGATTGGTGTCGATGGAAGAGATCCATCCCAACTCCCAGAGGAAAACCACCTGTTTGTAGAGGAAAATGGTCTTCCAGGGAGCTATCTTCCACTTTCACTTCCATGATTTGTTCAGGAAGTGTATGTGCTGAGCAAATCCCACTCTTTCGCACAAGGTTTTGTACCAGGATGTCTTCCGTGGCTCAGATCTCGTTGTTCGTGTTTTCATGCAAGGATGCGCGGTTTCAGCTGATGCGCTACCTGGCCTGTTGCTTCGCCAAGCGGTGGGGAGGGAGGCCAGAGTGAGCCAAAAACTGACCCCATTGGATCCATGTGGAAGATCGCGGCGAGGGTTATCAGGCAGAACCGCCTGGTGTTCGCCTTCGAAAAGACGTATGCGGTTGTGGGTGAAAACCAGGAGACTTGGTTGACCACCGAAAATGAACAGAATAGACTACAAGGGGACATGGCTTTGGACCGGGAGTCCAAGGTTTTGATCTACACGCAGGTCCTTTCCAAAAACAAGTGTTCAAACAAAGTTCCAATGACTCCTTGGAAGAGAATGTGTGAACAGGGTGTTGTCAATGTTCAAAGACATCTTGCTTTTGGATGTGGGCGACGTGTACGGCGTGCACCAGCTTCAGGCCCCTCTGGCCACAGTTCAACCGATGGGAACGGCAGAAGCGAAGAAAACCCGTGTAGATCTGGAAGCAGAAGCGCACCCAAGTCTAAGTTGCGTCCGCGGTCTGCATATGATTGGTCAACGATCTTCAGACCAGTCTGCATTCTCCTCTTCATGATCTTCATGTGAGATGTGAGAGACCTTTTGATCGCTCACCTATAATGCAGACTCCTGATGATGTGTGAGATTTCATCCAGGATGCCTAAGGTGGATATGTGTGGATATGTGTGGATATGTGTGGATGAAGACCTTCAGAACACATGGGGCCCCTCTTCTCGTGCCCCTCTTGTTCTGCCTGCCGCCTGCCCGTGGCACCCGCCCGTTGCACCCGCCCGTGTCTTGTTTCGCAAGCAGCGAGCGAGGCCGAAGTCAATAGAACTCGTGCAGGGCCGCGTACAAGCGAGGCGCGGCACCTGAGGGGGCACCCAGGAGCTGTGAAAATCCAGCACCTGCGATGTCCACCCAGCACCTTCATGTCAGAAAACACCTGGTTTCGCCCCACCCTACTACGATCAGGGGCCTAGCCCCCCTAAACACCCCGACCCGAAGGTCCAGGCACTAGAGGATGGCAGGCAGCTAGTGGAGGAAGCCAGCGTGGAGGTTTCCACTTGTGGCTGGTTGATTTCAAGATTTGACACTGGAAGTTCCTGAAACCATCCCTGTGCCCTTCCCTGCTCCTCCGAGAGGATGCAGCAAATTGCACCACCTCTATCACTTGGACCATCCCTGCAGTAGCAGGTGTCTTTTCCCAGCGCCAGAAATGGCTAAAAGCACCTTCCCAACACCTCTACATGACCCCCACCCCTGGGCAGGGTCTCCCGGCCATCGCCAATCGCCCGCACCGTCCACCCCACGGAGCAGCGTCTATCCAGGACGTCCAAGCCTCAGTCCGCACCGCATGGCATCCATGGCCCCGGGGGGCGGTCCGCCAGAACTGATCTGAACCCTCTATCTGATTTGCTGAGGAAAGTTCTGTAGCTGGAGATTCTGAAACATGGCCCAGTCACTCAGTCAGCTTCTAAATCTGACCTTTCTGAAAGTTTGTGAAGCGTTTGGTCATGAGACTGTGCCACAGTCTGAGCATTTACACACTTAAGTTCAACTCCAATTGCTATATATATAACTATATATATACCCCCATCTTACACTTCAGAGGCCGATTTCGCAAAATTTGCCACAAACCAGTCTCCAGCTCGCAGGGACGTCGGAAGAAACAAACTGGACCCTGAGGCTCTTTACCCTTTCTCCAGCAGTCTCAGCCGACCATGTTTAAACCACATGATAAACACGGTTGCCATGGTTTTACCACCATTAAGCATGATTGAAACTGCTGGTTTACCATGGATCTTCTGCAGAACACCAGATCGTCTCGCCACCTGGGAGGGAAAGCCGCAGAAATCGAGTACCAACATGCGAGTACCCGTCCACTGGGCCACCAGGCAGGCTCTTGAAATGCCTCCAGCTGGACGTCAAGAGCGGCACCGCCACCGGCATCGAGATTGGTAGATACCTCGAGAGACCCAGCTCGACCCGCCAGCTCGGGCTACTGTACTGATGATGTACTTTTATTGGCGGCAACCAGGCACTGGATCTCACTGAGGGAGCGGCACGGCGTACTTGAACTCCCAAGAGAAGTACCTGGTCCAAAGGGTGTACTTGAACTCTTCTGGCCAACAAAGGTGCAGTCCGAATGGACCTCATCTGGGCCCATCTCAAAATACAGGTGACCATCTTCTGGCCGGGCCAACCCCCAGAGTTTGTTGGTGTTGCCTTCAGATCTTTTTTCTGATCCTTCACGCCACACACCGTGGCCCCCCGGCCCCCCGGACCCCAACCAATTCGCTTAACACGCTCGCGTCAACCCCGATTCTCGTCCACCCCGATGAAACGACAACAACGGTCAATTCGGGTCAAAAGGATGAAGATCGGAGAGTTCGTTGTCTTTTATATGGGAGTCCTCATAAACCACCGACCTTGGGGATTGCGCCATCTACTCTGAGACTGTACTTCTTTCTTTTTTGGGAGACACTTCGCTGGAAGCTGCAATGAAGAAGTGCAAGTTGCTGCTATCTTGGAGATGGCATTAGAGGGCGGCGTTCAGTTCCGATCACGCATCCATTCGTTTCTTGAAGTGAATCTTAAGCCAGGAAATGCATAGTGGCAATTCAAATACAGTATCCGACATTGCCTTCCCTGGCAAACTGTACTCCCGGGCAACAACATGCATCGGACATGTCTTAACCCCTTGGGGCTGTTGAGTTGGTGCCCTCCCTCACGTCTCGAACGAGGAGCCAATGGCACTTTGCAGGTTCCTTGGCCTTTGGGTCTGGCCTTGTCTTCCAGTTCCTGGGAGGCTCTCATTTCCATTGCCTTTCATTTCTACTACTGGCGATTTGCGGTCGTCCTGGCGGTCGAGTCTTTTGGGGGCCGTGCCAGACAAGTGAACAAGACTCTGGTCTCGCATGGTCCACCGAATTACCAGGTTTTGAGGGGGATCTCCAGGTTTCACACCAAATCCCAGCAAATCCCCTTCCCGCGCGCAGCCGGACCAGACCGGACCCGACGTGACCGCCGCCACCCAGACCCCGCGCACAGCTGCGAGACCACGGAATCATCGTGGATCGCGGTGAGCGCTAAGATCAAGGCTTCCCGCGACTCGGCCTCCCCGCCCGAAACCCCCCACGAAACTCGGCCTCCGCCCGAAGCCAAGTCCGGCCGAAGCCGAGTCCGTCAGTCCCGCGGCTGACTCGTTGACCGGAACCTTATGGTTCCGAAGGGGATTGACGTTCGTTGCTTTGGTTCCCATGAGCAGCATGAGTCAGAGTCGAGTGACACAGAAGAAGTCCCCCCTTTTGGCGAACCAGTTCCGACTTCGAGTCATCTTCGAGGTATTTCCCCCACCCAGCCAGGTTTCTTTCAGGCTGTCAAATGCACACACTGATGGGTTGTGGACACCATCCAAACTAGAACAGAAAAAGTTGTTTTTAAGGGTCCTTCATCCATGAAACATTCAGTAGGTGGACTCAGCCACAGCTACCCATCGACCGGAGTGTTTTCAAGACAACACCCTCCCAAGCACCTCAAACAGAAAACCAAACTCATCCAAAAACAAACACTACATATTATGCCAGGATCATCCTGTCTGGGTGTCCTGGCTAGACTACCCCACCCTACGTAAACAGGTCTCCAGACAGAGCACCGGAAGTGCTAGGTACACTTGAGAGAGGAGGGGGTGAACGAAAGGTAGCAGGCAATCACAAGTAACCCTGGTAGAAGTCCATGACGGCGTGAACCGGCGATCCAGGGAGGGGGCGGCCCCCCCCCCGACGAACAGAATCAACTCTTACAGGACCAAATTCAATGCACAATCCCAACTCCTGATTGTAATACATTTTTGCTAAAGCAAGGAGAACTCAGGTAGCTCAAGCTACCTTTCGTGATATCTCGAATGCATCTTAAGCCCCAGAGTCTTCCAAAACTCCAACGCCTCGGAGCCCTGACGCAGCCCTTTTCCTCTCGGGCGCACCCGTCATGGTCGCCTCGCCCGTCACGCTATACCTTACCTGAACGCATCGAGTCGACTTGGAAATCCAAGGCACTAAGGCGTTACGGAGATCTCCACGTTCCGCTGCATGGTTGGAGGACCAAGCTTTGTTCACTGCCTGGCGGTGAGCTTTCGCGCCACGCGTGGCGGCGCGGTGTTTCGCCGCACGGAAGCGCCAAGGTTTCGCAACAGCCCCACACGTTCCGCTGCTT